AAGAAATATTAAATCGTACATTGGAAGACACTCAACAGAGAAATGCTAACCCACACGTATTAGCTACTTTTCTCATCGCTGTGGTCAAACACTTGAGAAAGGGCAGCTTGAAGAAGAAAGAGCTGATTTCTGCTCATCGCGTGGGAGAGTGCAGTTCATTATGGTGGGGAAGGCATGGAGGCAGGAACATGAAACAGCTGGCCACGCTGCATCTACGGTCAGAAAGCAGAGAGATGAATGCCCGTCCTCAGCTCCTTTTCTCCTTTTATTCAGGTCTGGACTATGGGATGGCGTCACTCACATTTCGGGTGACTCTTCTCTGTCCAGTTAAACTTTTTCTGGAAACAGCTTATAGATATCCTGAAAGTGTTTCTGTAGTGATTCTGAGTCTGGTCAAGTTGACAGTGAGATTAATCATCATACCACAGAATGAAAGAGAGATTTACAAACCCTAATAGAGAAGTAATAGGTAAAATGGAGAGAACCCCGAAAACGGAACAATAGCAAGAGGAGCGCTTGGTGAAAAATGGGCAAGCTGTGGTTAGGGGCCTCTCCATGACGGAGGGCAGCGGTCTGAGAACATGAGAAAGTGCTCGGTAGCAACCAGAATTGAGAAATGGAAATTAGAACTACAAAGAGATGCCATATCTCTTCAAAGATAAAGACACGTGATGCAGAAATAGAGTAAATGGCAAGTCACTATGGCTTGGATCTGTAATGGCTCCTCAAAGCTTTTATCTAGATCATGTTTTTGCTTTATTTTTTTAGTTGTTGTTTTAAGACATGGTCTCCAGTATCCCAGTTTGGCTTTAAATTTGCTATATAGCTGGAGATGAGCATGAACTTCTTCCTGTTCTTTCTACTTTTGACTCCCCAAGTGCTAGGATTACAAGCATGTGTCACCACACCTGGTTTATGTATGCTGGGGTTCTAACTCAGGGCTTTGTGTAAGCGAGGCAGATGTTACCACTTGAGTCCTGTTCCCAGCCCAAGGCCATACAGTCTACTTCTTAGTTTAGTACTTGGGGAAGTTGGGGAGTTTTAGGAGGTGAGGCCTAGGGAGAAGTCTTCAGGCCGTTTAGGGGACCTGCCCTTAAGAGGAATCCTGGAATTTGTATTTTTTCTGCTTCCTGACTGTGATGTGAGCAGATTCATTCACTATGCCTTGCCATGATATGGTGCTCCTACCAGACACTTAAAGCTGGTCAACCTGAAGTTCACAACCGTGAGCCAAAATGAACCTTTGTTCTTTACTAAGTGACTTATCTCAAGCATTTGCTATAACAGCACACATGTTGATTAGGATATAAGAAATTGAATTTCTGCTGGTGGAGACAGAAAATGCAGTCACCTCAGTGGAAAGCAGGAGGTCTAGCTCTTAAAGAATTAAAAACAAGAATTTGGTATATGTGCAAAGCCTTGGAAGGGGGTCTTGAAGACACAGTTGTACACGAGTGATCACAGCACCATTGGTCACCAATAACAAAAAGGTACAAACAACCCAAGTGCCCAGAGATTATGTAAAGGATAAGATGTTGTCTACACACACAGTAAAACTTTAGTCTTGACTGAGAAGGGAATTCTGCTATGTGATGAAACCTGAGAGAGTCTCAACATCAGCCAGTCAGAAAAAATACTGCATGGTCCCACTGATGTGAGGCCCCAAAGTTAGACTCAGAGATAGAAGGTGGACTGGTTGTCAGGGCTTAGGGTGGGTAGTTAGTGCTTGTTAGGCACAGTGTCTGTGTGGGGAGACGAGGAGCACCGTGGATGGATTCGGACAATGGGTGTGAAGCTGTGTGAGCAAGCAGATATCCCTGGTTGCCCTAAAAAAGTTGAGTTGGCAAATTTTATGGTGGGTGGGAAGGAAAGACTGTCAGGCATGAAAGACAGTGTCCTGGCTAGTTTTATGTCACCTTGACACAACCTAGAGTCATCTGAGAGGAGGGAACCCCAGCTGAGAAAATGTCTCCATAAAATCAGGCTGAAGGCAAGCTTGTAGGGTATTTTCTAAATTAGTGATTGATGTGGGAGAGCCCAGCACATTATGGGTTCCATAAGAAAGCAGACTGAGCAAGCCATGAGGAACAAATCAGTAAGCAGCATCCCTCCATGGCCTCTGCATCAACTCTTGTCTGCAGGTTCCTGCCCTGTTTGAGTTCCTGTCCTGGGTTCCTTCAGTGATGGAATACAGTGTGGAAGTGTAATAAACCCTTTCTTCTTCAAGTTGTCTTGGTCATGATGTTTCATCACAGCAAGAGTAACCCTAACTAGGACAAGTTGTTACCAGGAGTGGGGTATTGTGATGACCTCACCATGTTGTTTTGGGAGAGGATTATAGAAGGAATTTGGAACTTTGGGCTAGAAAAGCCATTGAATGTTGAGATCTCAGTGAGCTGTTCTGTAGAGGCTTGGCGTAGAGACAGTGGAGTAGAGACCGTGGAGTAGAGACAGTGGAGTAGAGACCGTGAGTAGAGACCGTGGGGTAGAGACAGTGGAGTAGAGACAGTGAGTAGAGACAGTGGAGTAGAGACCGTGGAGGAGTAGAGACCGTGGGGTAGAGACCGTGG